GCCTCCCAAAGTGCTGTGATTACAGGCTTGAGCCACCGCGCCCGGCCAGAGAATTGCTTCTTTTAAGAAGCTTTGAATCTGAATGAGACAAAAACACACATGGGAAATGCAATAGAATAGGCCGGGTGAGGTGGCTCACAACTGTAATCCCAGCACTTCCGGAGGCCGAGGTGACGCATCACTTGAGGCCAGGAGTTCAAGACCATCCTGACCAACATGGCGAAACCCTGTTTCTACTAAAAATACAAAAATTAGCTGAGCCTGGCGGTGGGCGCCTGTAAGTCCAGCTACTCAAGAGGCTGAGGCAGGAGAATCGCTTGAACCTGGGAGGAGGAGGTTGCAGGGGGCCGAGATCGCGCCACTGCACTCCAGCCTGGGAAATGGATTAAGACTTTGGCTCAAAAAAAAAGTAATGCAATAGAATGGAATCAATGTTGTTTTTCTATTTCCATAAAGAAGGAACTTGATTCAGTATGTGGCTGTTACAGCTAATGATTATATGATGGATCCACAATCAAACCTCACAATTTAAATCAGGGGTTTCCAATCTTTTGACTTCCCTGAACCACATTGGAAGAAGAATTGTCTTGGGCCACACATAAAATACACTAATCATAGCTAATGAGCTAAAAATAAAAAATTGCAAAAAAATCTCATAATTATTTTTTTAATCTCATAATGTTTTAAGAAAGTTTACCAATTTGTGTTGGGCTACATTCAAAGCCTTCCTGGGCTACATGCAAGCTCGATTTAAAGCAACCTAATTCTTCAGCTTTCACTATGGCCTTTCTAGGCCAAATAAAATAGATACTATCAATTTGTACTGAGCACCTACTATATTCTGGGTCCTGAATTAACTATTTCAAGGCATTTATCTCATTGACTTCTGACAGCAGCTCAACAAAGCAGGTATATTATTTTGGCTTTGGAGCGAAGAAAACAGAAGCAGAGGCAGGAGAAGGAACTTGCTCAAGGTCACATTGTCCAACTTCCTGTAGCAGAGCTAGGTTTTCAACCAGGATTGAAGACTCCACACTCTAACTACTGTAATTCACAGTGAGGGCTGCAATTCCAGATGTCATGCATATGGCTCTGTATCTCTGACCTGCACTGGACTCAAATGGATTTCAGAGTCCTCAGATCCACAGCAACCTAAGTATATCAATAGCTTTCCAATCCCAACCCCATTATAGCTCAATCTTCCCTAGCCCTCACATTATTTACGCAGAATCTGATTTGCATTTGCAGTGGAAGCTGCAAAGGGAGAACCTGGCAGGAACTTTAATGAAGCCAGGTGGGACACATTTAAATGGGAATGTGTTGAACTAACTCATGAAGAGCCAAAGCCAGCTGTCAGCAGGCTTAATGAAAGGTTAACAGGAATCCAGATGGGTGGCTGGGGAGCCTCTTTGTCTCTCTAAAGAAAACAGGAAGTTGAGAAGTGGGCTTTTCAGGTGGAGGTGAGAGCAGAAGGAGGAAGCTATTCGAAACCAAAAGGCTGTATCTGGAAATAGAGTTTCATTTAGATTTGTAAATGTGTTACAGCCTTTTAAAAGAGCACTGAATTCT